GGGGGGGGGGAGGTGAGGCGGCTGCGGAGGCCCCCGGGGCCCAAGAGGCAGGCCCGGACAGAGCCCGGCAGGCCGGAGGTGCTCAATAAACGACAGATGAAGGGAAATCAGACATGGCCATGGCTGAACGCCTCAATACATCCCCGGCACTGTGCTCAGCCAGTGGTCCCCAAACGTGTCTGCCCATGAGAATCACCTGGCCAGGCATCCCACCTGTCGAAATTGTGATTGGATGGGTCTGGGAGGTGACCCGGGCTTTGGAATTTTAAAAAGGAGCCCGAGATAATTCTAAGGTGCTGTTGAGTTTGGGAACGGGGGACTCATTATGGATGAGGTTGATCCATAAGACATTGTCTTTTTTTTTTTTTTTTTTTTGGACGCTCAGGCTCAGCGGCCATGGCTCACGGGCCCAGCCGCTCCGCGGCATGTGGGATCCTCCCGGACCAGGGCACGAACCCGTGTCCCCTGCATTGGCAGGCGGATTCTCAACCACTGCGCCACCAGGGAAGCCCCGACATTGTCTTTTTTATATTTTGGAAATGATCAGACATCAGCGGTTCCACGTGGCTCACCCTACAGTATTGTGTGTCATCCTCTCCACTTTAAGAGGGATGTACCCTTATTTATCCCCTGTTAGGGCAAGAGCTGTTAAAGTTGCCCCAGGCAGAACAGCAAGTAAGAGGTGGAGCCAGGATTCCAACCCAGAGGGCTTGCTTGCTCTGGAACCCAGATGCCTCCCTACAAGTATGCTAGGAAGCTGCCTGAATGGACCGCAGCAGCAGCAGCAGACTCAGCCAGGCTCTGGGTGACACTGGTAATTCCCACTCCTGAATTCAGGGTCCCATTCCCTCTGGGTGGGTGGAGATGCTTTTACATCCATACCCTCCCTTCTCTGCCTCTGACTTCTAGATCTCCTATTTCCCTCCTCAGGCAAACAACCCATCTTCTGTGATCTCCCACCCTTTCCTCTTGGCAAGGTTTCCTTTTCTTGGTTATAAGAAAAGCTATTTCACAATACGAAGGGGAGGGGTGTGCACCTTAATCATTATAAGCTAGCATCCGGTGTCTCCTGGAAGCTCATGGACTGCACGCAGGTACACTACAAACCCTGGTGCATCCTGGGATGTCTAGGGATGCTTGTTTGTTTGCTGTGCACTATTCACAGCTGTCTCCCGCTCTGCTCTGCAAACCAGAGAAATGGAAACTAGTAGTGGGGGGTGGGGGGCAGGGTAGGAGATGGGGGCAAATGAGGCACAGAGGGAGTTGTGCCTTGGAAATCTTGGAATCGAGCAAGCCAGGGAATTTGGTACACAGCTTGTTCAAGCAATGAGAAGATTTGGAAGGGGAAGGTAGTTTGGGAGGGTGCTGGGGCTGATGCTTCCGGAAGTGCACAGCACTGATGGTGGCCACTCTGGAGGAGATAAGTCATTTCAGATTAGATTCAGAGGCTCACAGTGCTAGCTGGGCATTGGAACCCCACTTCAAATTCTCCCTCGGGACTTCCCTGGTGGTCCAGTGCTCCCACTGCAGGTGGCAAGGGTTCGATTCCTGGTCGGGGAACTAAGATCCCACATGCTGTGCGGTATGGCCAAAAAAAAAACCCACAAAAAACCGAAAACCAAACAACAACAACAACAAAACAAATTCTCCCTCACTCAGCCCTTTAATCTCCAAGAAAAGCATACGCCCAGCCTCTGCATATACCATCTCTTCACCTTCAGTTAGTTCTAACTGTTCAAATGTTCTACATTCCGTCCAGACTTGAAAGTTGCCTCCGTGTAATTTCTATCCACTGATCCTGCCCTCTGAGATCACATAAAGCAAGTGAATTTTTTTTTTTTCCCCACAAGACAGCTCTTCAGCATCTCAAAGACAGTTATCACATCCCTGCTACGTAACAATGTTTCTGGTTTAAATCTGTAGTTCCTTCATCTGCTGTCTCACAACAAGCTTCTAAGCCTCCAGGTATCCTGGCTAACCTCTTTTGCACATACTCAGTGTGTCAACATCCCCTTACAGGGTGCGGCTTGATTTAAAATTGATTTTTCCATGGTGTGGAAAGACGGCAAAGTATGCGAGAAGGATCGTCAACTTCATTCTGGGCATAAGACTCTCTAATACGGCCCAAAGTGGGTCTTTCAGACTTTCACCATAGACTTTAGGTCTATGCAGTCATCTGTAAAAAGTTTCCCCAATTTACAGATAAAAAGACTGACTCCGGGAGAGTATTCATGATCTGCCTAATGGCATGCTTCCTGACTCCTGGTGCACTGGTTCCCTCCATTACTCCGCTACTCTGGAAAATTACCTAAAGAGTTGTCAACACAAGTAAAGGTTCTGGGGAAATGAATCCATGAACCAGTCACAGCCCAAGTAACCACAGGAACGGTCTACCTAAGAAATCATTGCAGTGCAGGATTAGGTCATGTTTGTCCAATATTCGACCCAGATTGCTTGACAAGTATTAGAGACAGGGCAGTTGGAAAACAGAAAGCCCAATATTTTAGTGGCAGTCTCTGCTTTTGATGCTCCAAAGTTCAAAGAGATACTGCAGCTTATCAGAAGTAGCAAAACACTGTGAGTTTTGTTAATTCTGGTTTTAAAGTTGGGATTGTGAGTGACTAAGAGTGACAGTTCAACTACTTGATTTAAGACTCCATTAGCTCAGGCCGGCCAGAGGCAATGCCATGAAGGAGGCAATTTCCCTTCAACTCACTCTCTGCCAGCTCCCAACAGCCCCTCCTTCTCTCTTCAGGTGGTCCCCACGCCCAACTGGTGCCCTGTGCCCTTGGAGGCTCCTGGCCTTGCCCATCAGCACCCCCTTTCAGAACCTACCAACTTTAAGACCCCTTCTCTCTGTCCAGAAAACTGGACTGAAACTTGCCCGTATGGTAAAGGCTGACAATCAGCTACCCCCTCCAGGAGGGTTCATTGGGGTCTTAGATTATTGTTTATTGCACAACCAATATTAACATAAATTGAAATAAAAGAAAAAATTCTTCCACCATCCCACAATCTCCAACAAAGCCCACTGGTTTTCCTTCCATTTCCTTCTTCTAGTTCCATCCATGTGCATACCCAATCTTTACGATTTGATTTCTGGGTTTTTTTAATTTGTGAATGATTATTTTACAAATATTCTCCCATCTGTCATTTATAATTATACTTTTGATGGCTGCCTAAGAGTCTGTCAGGGAGATGTCTTGTAATTTACCCATTCTCAATCATGGAAAAATAAACACAGAAAGGTCCCTCCTTCTTTTGAAATTTTTCCTACCAGTAAATTCCCAGAAGTTGGATTAGTAGAGCCAAAGTTATAGACATTTTTATGACTCTTAAAAATTCCAACCCAATCACAAAAGAAAAAGGAATAAAAAATTTCCAGCCAAATCGCATCCCCAAAAGTTATACCTATTTATAGGTATATTATAGATTTTTTAAAAGTGCCAGTTTCAGTGAAACCTCAGTGTACTCTTACAATTTTCATACTGTTAATTTCACAGATACAAAATGATACCTTGTTATTTTATGTTAGTATACTTGCATTTAAGAAATGGCTGTTTCAAGGCAATGCATTAGCTCAAAGGAATGTTACAGGCATTTTAGATACTCCAGCTAATCAGAACAAAATTATTTTGAGGGGTTAATACTCTTCAGGCATCCAATCATGCCGTAGAAGCCCAGAGCAGCTTCCCCCTTTTGGGATCACTTACCTACCCCAGAAGTGAATTATCTCCTTCCAACAGTCACAGTGTGTTCTTAGCTCACATTACCCCCACCCCCTCTCATCCGCCATTTAATTCCTTCCAGATGTTTGCTGTCCTCAACAGGGAACAATTCTTCCTTGAGTGTGACTCTCTTAATTCATGTTTATGCAAACAGTTCATTTATCTCTCTGCCTGCTGTATTTACTTTTAATGTGTTTTAACTATGCTTCAACTTTCATACTTTCACAAGGGGAAAATAAGTTATAGAGTAACAATAATAACTGGCATTTCCTGAGTCCTATGTGCCAGCCACTCTTCTAAGTGCTTCTCGTATTAATACACTTAATTCCATAACAAGCCTATGAGATAGGATCCTCATATTCCAAACGAGGAAACTGAGGCACACAGAGCTTGAGTAACTCACGAGGTCACACACTGGTTGACGGAGGAGACTGACTTTGGGCTCAGGCAGTTTGGGCCCAGAGTTCCCCTTGCGATTCTGCTGAAATGGTGGAAGGCACAGAACAAACTTTTTAACAGAGACACACAAATAGGGAATAAACCTTGAAGGTAATGAGTTCCCCATCATAAACCCAGGCGGGAGTCAGGCTGCTTGGCAGGAATCATGGATTCTAATTGGGATTCTGCTTCAATATTAATTGCTGAATACTAATGAATGTGTTAATATACACTTTATAATAATATATGAGTAATGTATTAATGTCTGTCCCAGGCCATGCCCTGGGCTAGGTGGTTCGCATAGACCCGTCTCCTGCAGCCTTCCTACCCACACCCCAGCCCTGAGATGTCTCCCTCTTCCATAATTGTCTTCTATGTTCATTAAAAAATGATCACATGCTGGTTAAGTCAAGGTGCTTCAGATGTCACTGGCCAGAGAGGATGTCTTCCCCCAAAACATCAGGCACACCCACAGTGCCAGCGAGGAAGGGGAAATACGTATGAGTTGGGAGGAAGAAAGCTAAGTGTTCTGTTTGAGGTCTGGTCACCTAAACCTTGGGCATTGGTGTTAATAACCCTTTATCTCTGTACAAAATTTCACATCCATTACCTCCCTTAATTTTCACTATAACTAATCTCAGGAGGTAGGAAGGGCGGGTATTCCTAATCTCATCGAAGGGTGAGAAAAAGAGGCTCAGAGAAGGCAAGAGATGCCAGAAGCATGAAATAAGGATGTGATGGGGTCATCTGTCCCTCAATCCAGTCTTCTGTCCTCCATACCTGCTGCAGGGAAGGTCAGTCCCAT